GGGTGCATGAGGTGGGCATTTTGAAGAAGACCTGCAGGTTGTGGAGGAGGTGTTAGAGAGGACAAAATGTTCTAAAATGGACAAAGGCGTCCCTGTGGCATACTTCAACCAGAGAGGAAAAATGCTGTTTCTTTCCAATATAACAGCTTCACTGCTACTCAGCAGTGGGAGAGGTGATGCAGCGTCACTTTTAGCAGAAGCATGAGACAAATGTCTGCAGAGAGGGCGAGGTAATTTGGTCAACGGGAGAAGGCTTCAGTCACAGAGATGTTTTAGAGCTAAATCTAAGCACTGTCAAGGAATCCTCCGAGGTGTGCTGGGTTTTGCAATATATCTCGAGGCAATTTGGGATGTGCAAAAGTGAGACCAAGGCATCTGGTCACGCTCAGCTGGAGCCAAGCTTGTGGGTGCCTGGGTTTTGTTGCTGTTGAATGGATTGAAGAAATAAGCACAACTGGGAGGTGAACCTGCCTTCCTGCTGCCTGCGACACGCGCCCGGCCCCGTCCTGCTGTGCTTTGTGATGCTGTGGCTCACCGTGGCTTGCTTTGATTTTTCACTTCAGTACTGGAGCCAACCACACATCAAAACTAGGAGAATTAGAATGAAAGACAGCGTTGACATTGTGGACTGGTTTAATTGGCACCTTCTTTTAAAATGAACACATTGCTACCCAGAAGCAACGTCTGTTTAGGGACTGGTTAGTAATGGGCCAAACGAAGTGGCTCCTCAGCATGGAAAGGGCGCTGCCTGCACCCTGGCACTGAGGTGTGCGTGGCTCATACTTCTACATAAACATCTCCAAATAAAGAGGAAAAGCCAGCACTATTGACAGAGCAAAGGCCAGCTCTATTTATATCTGCAGTGAGCTTGTGATAATGAAAAGACGCTTTAATGTGTCCCAAGGCCTAGATGAAACACTGAAAATGTTGCTTTTAAGAAAAATATGATAATAATATCCCCTTGAAATCCCAAGGAAATGTGTGTGACGGACTTCTTGAGAGCAATATCAAAGAAATGAAATAGGAGTTGCAGAGCATAGGGAGTTACTGCAGTTACAGGCTTTGAAATGGTTTAAATCTTTGCTTTTAAGCTTTTTTCCTAAATATCTCTTTAAAAGTAACACTTTAATGAGAGAGAAAATGTTTTACTGCCGCTGAACTCTAGCAGCAGTGCAGATCTGTCAGACCTTACCTTATTTTGGAGTGTATATCTTCCCTCTATGGTTGCTTCTGCTGTCTGTCCCGTCTCGCGGGTGTCAGACTCCTGGGGGGCACGCAGGCGCTGGCGAGGGCCGGGGGGTGGCGTGAACGTCTGCAGAGGAGCACAGATGGGTGAAAAATGTTCTTTCAGCACAGGATTTGCGGCTTTATAGTTAGAAAGGAAAGACATTTTCATTTAGTGAAAGTCTTTTAGGGGCTCCTGGGTTTTTTTGAGGCAGTTGTAAAAATTGGGAAAAGGAAAACATTTACTCGGAATACCATCTTTCATTTCATCTTCGCGTGACTTTGACCAGCTTTAATTAACTGGTGGTTTCACATCATTGAGCAGGTGTAAAATATGGCTCCTGGTGCAGAAAAAACCCTCGAGCGCTTCTGAGCAGGTTTGCAGGTTTCTCAGCTCTGCTGGTGTCACTGTCCCTTTCTGTGAGAAGCCTCATCCTAAGTCACTGTTTTGGCCTCAAGAATTTAGGGGAACGGCTGCAAAGAGCAGCACCAGCTGAGCAGGATGCAGTGGCCAGAGCCCATCACCCCCTTGATCACCACTCCTGGGACATCCATGGGTGCTCACCCAGACTCCCCCATCCAGACTCTGGCTGCTCCAAAACCAACGCGTAACCAATGCATTTTATTTTAACCTTTCCTGGTCTATACTTGCTGTGTTCATTCTTAGCTTGCATTTTTGTCTAATTCTACTAGATCGGGCTGCTATAGTAATTTACTTAATTTGATAATAACAAGATATTATGAAAATCCCACTTGGCAGAAGAAGAGGTGGGCAATGATTATATAGAAATGTCCTAATTTTTATTAACCACATCATCCGAAAGAGTCAAATGAAGGGAGCAAACTGTAAAGTGTAGGCTTTTTGTTAAAGTTGGAAAGAGAACTGGTTCTGAGTCGTGGAATTTGTTTTTTTGAAGCATGAATGATGATATTCACCCCTTGCCCTTGGAGCAGGGAACGTGCTTTGTTTGGAGCATTTGCAGCCCTGAGCATGCTGTTGGCGCTCATCAGATAACTGTTGTTATTAACAATGCACAGATGTATTGGCAATTGCTTTCAGGTAGTCAGGCCAGCTGGAAAGAGTATGAAAGCACTTATTAAAGACAGGTATTCTGGTGTGAGCTAGAAGATGAAAAGGAAAAGAAATTTTAGTTTATCTGTGTAATTAAAGCACACTCTGCAGAGGAAAACAAGCAAAAGCATACGTAGTGCATGCACAGTTTTTGAAGGCTAACAGCTTTAGCTTGCTGACAGATACGAGGAGAAACAGTAAAGCTGTTTTTTTACCTTCCTTTTGTCCCTTAGATGCCCATTGGCAAATACAAATGGGCAGGTGCGTTTGTATTATTTATGTTGAAGAAAGATGAAGGTTGTAAGGACAAGTACATTGAAACTAGGACACGCCAGAGCTGCCATTGCTCGTGCAGCCTCTGCGTTGGCCATCCAGGCTGTTCCCGTTACCTTTCTGCATGAGGGAGCTGCAGAAGAAAAGCAGGCAGGTGGGCCCTGGGCACTGCCCTCTGCTCTGCCCGTGCTGCCTGCACTGCCGCTTGCGCAGGGGCACACGGCTGCGGCCGGGCTCTGCTGCGTGCAGGGCGTGAGGGTGGTGGCAGCTGCTGGGCCGGTGACAGCCACCACCTCCTGACACCTCTGGTAGCCCTGGGCGTCCCCATGGCCCTTCAAGCGGGTGTCTGGGAGCAGTGAGATGCAGCTCCCGGCAGGGAATGAGGTGTGGAAAATGCTCCCGGAAAAGTGGTAAACCCAGGTCAGTGTCCATGGAGAGGGCACCTCAGGTACTTGGTGACAGAGCATCTAGCAGTGTGTTTTAGCTCCTGGCCCGTGGGTGCCTGACTGAGACCCCAGTGAGACGTGTGTCCTAGGGCAGGAACCATGGTCTCGCCATCGGCTGGGGCTCAGAGCTGCCCCTGTCAAAACCCAGTGGCCTGAGGCTGGCAGAGGCAGCGAGGCGACGCCGGGCAGTGCTGGTGCACGACAGCAAGCACATGCACCCCACCAAAAACTGGGCTGCCACACTTCCCCCGTGGCTTAAAAGCCACTGCCCCCATCTCAGGTTGTTCAGTGCTTGCTGTTGCAAGGGGAAGCCAGGCAAATGCCCTGATTCCTTCTTTTACCTGTGTGAGGACCATTTCGGGCCCCATTTATATCCCCCCTTCCTCCCATCACTTCTTCACTCCTGCTGCTGGACAGACAAAGCCATACAGCCTGTTTTATCTGAGAAATTCTCCCAGTTGAAATCCCTCTTGCTTGTTTTTCTCACCCACCACCCAGCCAGCTCCTAATGAAGCTGTGCTGTATTGTTGTCTCTCTGATTTCCTATTGTCGATTGGGCTGATTTTAATTGGTTTGCATTTTCAGTTGTGTTTCAGCTCATCAGGAAGGATAATTAAAATGAAATCTTGCCCTCCGTGCTCCTCTCGATCAGTCGTAGCAACACTAGCAGAGCACGTTAATGTGAAGAATGGCGAAGGCAGGGCTTACTCCCTGTGAATGTTTGGAGCCTGGCTGTTAAGCATTACATTATTCAAAACACAGTAAATTGTCCCAGATGAGAAGGAAACATGTCTCGATCATCAAGCTGATGGAAATTAACAGTCTTCTGCCACAAGTTTCTTTAATTTGAACTACACTGAACTACTGCCTGTCTCATTCCCATTCTGTAATGGAAGCTGTGGACAGGAAACTGGCAAGGAGTAGGAGGCATAAATTCAAGATACCCGCAGCTTGGACTCAGAGCCTTATATAAATCCTTTGGATTTCTAGACTTTAGAAAAATACAGCTGGCATTGCTGCCTTCTGCCGACCAAGCAGGAAAGTTTAGCCGGTAGTCCAAGATACAAATGCTTAAGAGTCTGGAGGTGGCTTTAAGATCTGAGGGTGGTTTAAATGTTAGTGGTGGGGAAGAGAGAGAAGGGGAAGTAACACATCTCTCAGCATTTCCAGGTTTACAAAACCTGCATGCTGAGCTAGGGGCGGTTAGGATCGGCTCAATCTCAAAATGAGAACAGGGAAAATGAAGGTATGCATGACAAGCAAGCAGTTAACCAGCAAATTTTTCAGCTTATTGCTAATGTTTGTGTTTGCTATCTTTTAGGAAAATGTGAAACTGAATTTTGAAAGTCTGACAATGATTAGGAAAGGATTTCGTAATTGCTATTTATATCCTTCATGTGAGCATCACTATTAGAAGCCACTAGAGCTGTCCTGGTCTCCTGTACCTGCCATCGCCACTGTGAAAAGCAGGCTCCTGCCTTGCTTGGAATTTGTAATGAGCAAGTGTCAGTGTTTCCTAGCTGCGGGTTCACACAAAAACCAGTGCTGAGGATTTGTGCGAAGAGGAGAGGCTTCTTTTGCATCTGCTGGCCATGATGGATGAGCTAGGATTTAACAACCTCCCTCTGGTTCAG